TCCTCCACACATTTTGAGCACACAAGTGTGAGATCTTGTTTTAACACAGAGCTGTTAAGCAACTCAAATAGACCAAATCTAAAATAGATCGTACAGCACATGCTTCACTGCCCACAAGGCTCGAACAGCAACAGACTGCACTGAGGGGGAGCAGGTTTGACCTTCTGAGTGACAGTCAGTAACCTTTTGTGGTAGCTATGATCACACTGCATGAACTGTTTTGCTTAAGATTTAATATGACAGATGTCTATGATGTGGTCACTAAACCTCAATCGACTGATCTCTCTCCCTCTCCCTCTCCCTCTCCCTCTCCCTCTCTAAATGATCTGTGTCTGTCATGTGTGGTGAGGTTAGATTGCTGCACATGGACCAGCCTGTCAGTCAAACAGCACAGCAGACCACAGCACTTGAAACCGAAGTATAATAATGATCTGCCATATCAAATAAAAACAATAAAAAATAAAAAATATCTCACTAAAGCCTTTAAAGAGCAGCATGGCACCACTCCATCTGTTACTGGTTAGATGATTACATTACTGGACGGATTGATTGTGTGTAATTGGCTATATAAAAACATGGATGAGTTGAAGGGACTCAATGGTCATCGACTCATAATGTACAAAGCATCTTCATAGCAGAGGTAGTTCTGTCCAGCACTGAACCTCATGTAGGGATGGATGAGCGATTTTTCAGATTTTATTAATTAATTTGAATGTAATGTTTTGTCATGATTACATATATTTTTTAAATTAAGGAATTGCGGTTTTGAATAAAAATATTAGCAAATGCTACAATTAGACACGTTGACAATACACCAAGGACAAACATTTTTTTTGTAATTTTTGAGTTGGCCACATTTTGGCTAAGAAATATTTAGCATTTTCCTTATATTATTTCTGAACATATAGGATGTGTTTAAGACAAGTATGTACAATATTTGCCTCTATATTTAATCTTTTCTGCAAATATATTTAACAAGGGAATTTGTTTTACATTTACCCTATGTTGACCACTTCACGTGTGGTGCACTTGGAATAGAACTTTATTTATCCGCTGGAACGCCACTCTCTCGTGAACGTGTACGACAGTTAGCGGTTTAAAGTTTTAAATATGGATATTTTTCTTACAAAAATGCATCAATTCGCTTCAGGAGGCCTTCATTAACCCCCTGGAGCCTTGTGGAACACTTTTTATTGATGGATTGATGAACTTTATTGGACTTCTATTGGATTATTGAATCTCAACCCCCATTCACTGCCATTATAAAGCTTGGAAGAGCCAGAACATTTTTAATATAACTCCGATTGTATTCATCTGAAAAAAGAAAGTCATATACACTTAGGATGGCTTGAGGGTGAGTAAGTCATGGGGTAATTTTCATTTTTGGGTGAACTATCCTTTTAAATCATGATATAGTTACATTTTCAAAATAAAATGTTGCCATATGACTCACTAACCTCACAGAACATGTTATGAAAAGAAAACGTTTTCTTAATACAACAGTAAACCTTTATGTCAAAAATGGAATCATTCATTATTATTATAATTTTTTTTTAACAATTTAGTAATAAAAAAAGAAAAGAAGCCAAAGTAAGCTGAGGAAGTCACTCCCTGAAAGTGCACTATGGATGGTCAACACCAGAAAATCTCCACAGGAGGGAGTGTGCAACACACGGGGCAGGGGTGGGAAAAACTCAGGAGACATCAGTGAAGAACATCCTAGACACACACGCACACTTGAATGTTTAACCTCTCTTCCATTTATAGATCCCTAGCAATAGCGAGAGAGAAGGGTGGAGAACACGTCAAAGGTCAGAGGGGGTCCATGTGCTTCTCGAATTAAAGATAAGTAATCTAGCAGTTCTCCATTGTGTTGGGGAGCGACTGTGTGAGACAATACATTTACCTCAGAATAACCATTCGGCATCCACAAGCTCATTAGTCAGCTAGAAAAAATAACTATAAAGAGGAGCATTTTGCTAAATATATGCGCTAATTTGCATATTAATATTTTTCCTTAACCTGTTGTCTACATGATAAGAAAGAATGCAATGAGCTAAAGATAAGATAGATACATGTCGGTGCATGTCTCTTTAAATGCTAATGAGCTCTGCTCACCCCGCCCCTCTCTTCCGTGGAAGAGGAAAGGCGATTTGCAAAAAATCGTAAAAAATTATAAAGTGTGAGATCACGAACAGTGTGTACTGATCCATCCTTGAGTTTGAACTTTTTAGCAAAACCTGTCTTGAATTATCCCTCGTTTAGAAAGCAGTCTGGAGTAAAATGATTTGCGCAGACATAAACGAATTTAGGTGTATTCGGTGGCACATTACCATCAAAAACAAAACGAATCCACTGCGCGTCCTCAGTGGGTCTGATGTCGGGAGAAAATGAAGACTCTTATGTTCTTCTACATCCAACTACAAAACACCTGCATTGCTTATGAGACGTTGTTGCTACAGCTGCTCGAGCTCAGAGAAAATGGCAGACAGCGTACAACTGGCTGAGGGCCGAACAGTGTGTACTGATCCATCCTTGAGTTTGAACTTTTTAGCAAAACCTGTCTTGAATTATCCCTCGTTTAGAAAGCAGTCTGGAGTAAAATGATTTGCGCAGACATAAACGAATTTAGGTGTATTCGGTGGCACATTACCATCAAAAACAAAACGAATCCACTGCGCGTCCTCAGTGGGTCTGATGTCGGGAGAAAATGAAGACTCTTATGTTCTTCTACATCCAACTACAAAACACCTGCATTGCTTATGAGACGTTGTTGCTACAGCTGCTCGAGCTCAGAGAAAATGGCAGACAGCGTACAACTGGCTGAGGGCGGAAATATGCTAATACCAGACAGTCCGTCAGTGGCCGTGGGCGGGGCTTGAGCAATATGACGTCATATTGCTCAGAAAAACAAACGGCTTGATAATTGAGACTGTTTAGGTTTTTTGGGGATTAAAAAAAGAGAAGTGAATGGATTTTTATCATTGTAGGCAGGTTGTGCAGTCCACACACTGCTAAAACACATTTATAAGCAAACACCATGTAGAAGTGAATTTTGCATTCGATGTCAATCGAATTTAATCAATAAACAGCTCAATCAATCAACACTTTTTTTTAGAAATATGACAGAAAGAGTTTACTACTACAAATTGCTTTTAGACAATTCTATACCAGAAGCTTGCATAGTACTAAGGCTTTAGAGGAAATAGGCAGTCAGCGAGCACAGAGTCATTCATACAGTTACAAAAAGTTCTTATTGTAGATCAAAGAGGCAAACTACAAAAATGATCATTCAATAATCAATTAAATTGAATGGCAACATTCTAACACAGTGTAAGGTCCAATTTGGAAAAGCTCACTAATGCTTACACATACATTTTAACTCATGCATGTAAACATTACCAATAGTCTGACCATAATGCTTCAGCATGTTTGATGTGAGGTTATAATTAACCTCATGTCTGTGCTGTCTGCCTCTCACTTGCTTTCCACGTTCAGACAGAGTCTGACGCTGCTCTCAGTGAACCCAATAAACTCTCTGTTCAACACTGCCCAGATGCCCAGAACAAACAACTCCTGCAGAAAACACAACACAACAATGCACCTTTGGGTGGTGTACCAATCTATTGCATTGTGTATATGCTACAAACAGTATGTGTACTATATATACATTTAAGGCTCATAGCGTGCATGTCTCAAAAGTGACTAGAAAGCCTATGAAAGTATCCTGCATCAGGCATCTCATGTCAAAATGAAACCTAAACATCTCACTCTCAAAGAATTTATAGATCACTCACTCTCATTACATTGACATTAAGAAGCTAATTTAGCACTTCCTAGCATATTTCTTTGCAAAAAATAAGTCCAGAAACTCCATTTAACAGACATTAAAAGTGCTGACAGAACATCACATAGTATGAAACAATTGAGTTTACAGTTTTAGTTCTAAAAATGTACTTTCATTTTGCCAATATGGATTAACAACCAAAACCAAAGAAATAAACAATCCCTTTCACTTGTTCCAATGTAAAAATATGATTTTTAAATACTGGTTAACGGTTGACAACATTTATGTTCCGTTCCAGTAGCTGACTGTTCATGAAACCAAAGATCAAAAGAGCTATGACAAAGATTTTTGTCATAGCAAATGATCTGAATCACTTCCTGCAGCCTAAATCCTTTCATTGCCCATGCACTTTATGAGTGGAAGAGTACAGTGCTGACTACGGCAGCCAAGCCAGATTCTGTACCACAATGACTGTGTTATGGTAAGATCAGGTGTGTGACCTATTAAACATCAGTCATTGTCAAGATACTAAATGTTTAGTTTACAACATTACCTGTTTCTGAATAAACGAAGCAATGGTTGATTTAATGTCAATATTATTTAATCCCTATTTCATACAAACCAGTTACTATGTGTAAAGTAGACTGTGAAACCCTGAAGCCAGAACATAAAAATGCCACTTCCGCTTCAAACTTACCAAAATGAAAGACAGAGCTAAACAGCAGCTCTGACATGATAGCAAAACCTTTATTCATGCAGTCCTTTTAACAATTTAATCTGAACTGTAACAACGACAACTTTACATTTACTTACATTTATGCTTAGATATTATATAAATGTTTACATTTATTTGCAACAATTAACAGACTATTAGAGATGATATTTCTTCCTATGTAAAGTTTCTTCTTCAGTAATGGCTTTTTTAAGGGTTCCCACCCTTTATGACCATGACCTTTCCAGTCGTTCATGCTTAAGGTTTTTTTTTCTTTCTTCTTCTTCTTCTTATTTATTTATTTTTTAACAAGTCTTAAAGATTGCTGGAGTGGATCTCCACGAATGTACAAAAGTCTCCAAACAAACAAATAAAGATATTTGTGGACATGGAGGACTTGCTTAAGGAATGTAAGTGCAGAGCATAAACATTTATATTCACTACAATCATGTTGAACAGAATTTTTATAGAACAGTAAATGTACCCGCTTGATGTTTTATAGTTGTGCTGTAATTTTTATTGCATGGATGATCACGGATACATGTGGAGTACACCTTACTAGAGCACTGGCCGTGACACTAATGATCCTCCAACTGTTCTAGCTCTGCATCTCTCTCACTCTATTTCAGTGGCATCCATCTGGTTTCAAGACATACTACTGGCTTTGATACTTCATTTTAGCATCATATACACTAAATCCAGGTGGAGTAACTAATATTACCTCATCAAAAGCCATCATCTCTTAAACTGACACCAGAAACCTGTGAAAACTATTAGGCAAATCTTAACCAAAAAATAAAAATAAAAACAGTAACCTTAGGTTACACCACCACCTACTGGTTATCTGAAGAATTGCAATAATATTAATTTAGAGAGAACAGGCATTCTTACACAATACATCAAAATCCAGTGGAATGGAGACAAAAAATAAAAATCACACAAAATAATTCAACTCATCTCCTTTTAAGTAGACCAGCCACAAATTAAAATGTTTAAACTATCTTTTCTAGATCTGTTAAAATGTACTTTCAGAAATTAACTTGGTCACTCAGTTGTCGGAAAAAGGGTAGCTGACATCCAGAAAAAAAAAATATATATATATAGCACACTACATGACAAGCAACAATCATGTGTCACTCAGCTATAAGACAGAACACAAAACATGTCTGGCCACTGCGGTCAGAATATAGAAATCCAATGTCTTTGATAAAAATAAATACATTAACAAATACAACTTATTTTTGTGATGGACATATAGATCATTCAGAGAAGCAGACTGAAAACCACAGCGGTAGTGTTCTTCAAATTTCCAGATCAACACACTTTACTCCTCCTGCTGACAGACTCACACATACACACATTCATACAGTGTGCACGGAGTCGTGTGTGTTTTTGGATGTGCAGTCAAATACGAACACCTCTCTTATACTGCCCAACCACATCATTACACAAACAATAGAACAGCAGAAGAGGCTGATGATAAGTGTTGGCAATTGAACCCAAACCCGCACACAGCTGTGAGGAGATGTTTTACAGTTAATGTGTGTACACCTATAGCATGGCAACATTTGAACAATGCTATAAAAGTATTATGAAACCATTTCCATGTTGGATAATATTTTTGGGTTATTTTGTAGTTTTAGTTTTTTTTCTTTTTGTATATATTTTTTTAATAATATTTGTATAATCTGCATACATGACAAAAAAGAACCACTCTTCAAAAAAGAAAACCATGCATAATTTCTCTTGTACGATTTAAGTTTTTTTTTTTTTAGACATTTAAAAATCTTTGCACTTTCAATATAACTTTTTTTTTGTAATTTGAGTCCTTTTTTATTTCAGTTGTCCTCAGTGAGGCAAAAGTCCCAAGGCTTCAGGTATTGCTCAAGTTGAATTCTCTCTCCTACATTCTCTGGTCCTCCACATCTCCAATAGAGCAGTGCAGCTCCCATATGGGCAGCGAGCAGAAGCTGTGCAGAAGCCAGTGGAAATCAGGCCTAAACTCTCCATATGATTTCAATCCCATGGCCAATGCCCCACTTTAATTATTATTTTTTTCTTTTCCTTTTCCAGCTACAAAGTCACACACATCCCTTACACAGTGGGACAGGAGAGATAAATGATACCACCAGCACCCTTCTGTGGTCAGAGACATTAAGAGCAGGTGTAAGTCTGAGAGAACAGCTCCCCCTATCTACACAGGTCCTCATGCGCTACCTCACGCTGAGGTTTCCTCTTCTTTATGTTGTTTTTTTGGGACTTGCTGTTTTGATGGATCTTGTTGGGGTTGTTGTGTGGCCCTTGAGCACTTTTGTTAGTAAGCTGCCGACTCTAGAAAAAAAGAAAGAAACAGATGACATTTATATTAAGGTTAAAACTAACAAATAAAACTCTAACATGTTACGTTGTTTGTTAACATCAGTTAATGTTTTAGATATCATAAAGTATCAAAAAAATTATTTTTTTTAAAAACTGTCGCATAGCATATGTGACGTTTCGAGCACGCAGGCTCTTCATCAGACAAATGAACAACACTGATATCCCAATCTTTACCCTACCTCCTACCTCCAGGGGATCAAAGGTCACATGACCGTACCATATTATCATGATAATAATAATAATAATACCAAAACAATAACATATCAACCAAGGAGAAAAACATAGAAACCAAAATAAGAAATAAAAAGAATTCAAAAACATATAAAGCTATGCAAAATACACAAATATAATTATCAATATATTGTTTAATAACATTAATTGATGCCTGCCTAGGTACATAAATACAAACTGCACATGTTCAGAGATGCGAGTTTTTAGAGGTCTGCTAGTCTTACCAATATAACAAACCACAAGGGCAACGCAACAGGTAAATGACATTAGCCGCCTTACATGAAATAGTGCCTCGAATTAAAACATTTTTTGCCGTGTGTGGATGTGTAAAGGTCGACGTCTTATATGTGAAATTACACTGTTGACAGTTACCGCATCTGTAATTACCATATGGTATTTTGTTCAAAAAAATGAGGAGTAGGTTTCAAATCAGCTCTAACCAAAAGATTTCGAAGATTAGGTGTTTTCTTGCACACTAAACGAGGTGGTTTGTCAAAACATTTCTTGAGGTTAGGATCACTCTCTACAATATGCCAATGTTTCAATAAAACAATCAATGTCCTTCGACACAGGCGAATATTGGATGTAACAGTTAACACGATGGTCACATTTTTTATGTTTTTTAACGAGACTCTTGTTGTGACACATCTTTAAAACGACTGGCTGCAGACTGAATCCACTCTTTCGTTTTCTGAATCTCTGTGATAAAATCTTCATCACTGCTGCAAATATGGCAAATACGACTAAATTGTGAAATTGGTTTTTGGAAATTATTTTGGTTTCTATGTTTTTCTCCTTGGTTGATATGTTATTGTTTTGGTATTATTATTATTATTATCATGATAATATGGTACGGTCATGTGACCTTTGATCACCTGGAGGTAGGCCTATAAAGATTGGGATATCAGTGTTGTTCATTTGTCTGATGAAGAGCCTGCGTGCTCGAAATGTCACATATGCTATGCGACAGTTTTTAAAAAAAAATACATTTTGATACTTTTGGAGCTTTGGTGTTGCCGACTTTACATCCAAAAATTGTCCACTTGTTTCTTAGTCGAGCATCCAGTTGAGATTGATGTGCGTGCTTTTGCCTGCTCTTCACAGATATCATAAACTAAAAATTTAATTTTTTTAAGTATTTATTAATCTAGGTTATTTAATAAATATACTGTTGTTCACTGTTAATTTGCTGACAATGTTCCTTCATAATATATGGCATTATACACAGTCGTGGTACACAATGCCAGTTTTATCAGAAAGCTGGATTAGGCTAAAGCAGAGGAGAAATGCAAGAAAAAAATATAACTTAAAGCAGCACTATGTAATTTTTTCTGTGTTCAAAATATGCAAAATGTATATAATGAGCGAGTACATCATGAATTCATCATCCAAACCGCGTTTTTGTCTTATTCCGAACTACTACGGTACACTAAGTACTTATATTTGGACTATTGTAGCCTGGTCGGGTCATCACCGCTGCGGAGTAACACATACCTGCGTGAATCGCCAAGTAGCTCCGGTTGGAATGTTTTTCCGCGGGATGTGTGCAGTTCTGTTTATTAACCGCTAGAGCGCCAAAAGTTACATAGTGCTGCTTTAATGTATTAGTAGACATTAAATATGGGGTGCTCCGATTGATCGGCTACCGATCACTATCGGCCGATAATCACGTTGGGATGATTGATCGGCGGTCTCTAAAAAGGCAGATCTCCAAAAACCGATCTCAAGCTGATGATGCTGCCGTGAGAGGTTTGGCACGACATGCAGAGGCGCCGTCTCAGTCTCTGTCCGGCGCGGGTGAAATAATTATTATGCTGAAGGTGAGGAACTCCGTGAGTTGCGGTCCGGCAGTGCGCTCCAGTAGCGGTGCGTCTGCAGCAGTGCGGAGATCGTTTCCGCACCGAGTCTATTTTTGCTGTGCTGCAAGCGCTGAATTAAAGTGACAGCTCATTGTTTGCGGTAAATATGAACATGGATTGACACGAAAATGTAGTAATTACACCATAAATGCATATAACTGAAGTCTACTGTGTTTCACAGTCAACACATGGCTTTTTGTCTAGGTTTAAAGGGAAAGAGCACTTTTAGATAAACAAGGCAATAATAGATGCACTCGTGGAGGTAGGAAAACAAAGTTCTTTATGAACGGCAGGATTGCTTGTAATAAAGATTTAAATGCAAAAGGAAAGGCAGTAGAGCTGACTATTTCTGTCAATGGTAAGTTTGTGATAACGTAAGAAAAGTAGTTTAAATGTTTTACCACTTGCTTGAGCAACTTAATGTATAAATCTAGAAGTAAATGCAAAATTAAAATGCATTGAATGATGTGTTGCTTATATTTATTGTGTTTAAACATGTCTGTGAAAGATTGTATTACTGTACTGTGTAAAAAAATAATTGCAATGCTGAAAAAGCATTTCCAGTGACAATGTTTGGATTTGAAATCAAAATAATGGATAAATGTTGTGTTTGTGGTAAACACGGATCAGTAGCAGACTCCTGTGTGAAAGCTGCTTCCCCTCTCACAAGAGTCACCTAAGAGGGGAATTCCCCCATTTTCAAAAATGAAATTCAGGCCCTGAATAAATGTCTAAAAATCCTGATTGGAGTATCACTATATATAGTTATAAATGATAAAAAGAAGGCTTTAAAAAGATCGGTATCGGTGACTGGTATCGGCAGATACTGCTTTCGGTGGTCGGCGATCGAGCTCAAAAATCCTGATCAGAGCACCCCTAACATTAAACAAGATTAATAAATGCTGTAGTACTGTGGATTAATTCATGATGTTAATTAATACCAAATCAATTGGTTAACTAATGCTAACAAATTGAATGTTATAGTAAAGTGTTGCCAATGAATGTATTACTGGGATACTGAACCAATATGTCTCAATCATAAATGGAATCATAATCACTTCCATCAGGTTCTTACCTTATTGCCCTTATAAGTGGGGGTGGGCATTGTTGCTGAATGATTTTGTGATCTGTGATTGGACAGATTCCTTTCTGTATTCTCACTGTAAGAGTTAGAGCCCCGGCCACCCAAAGCTTTTGAAGTTTTACAGGGTGTTCCATCAGAGTCCTGCAGAAAGCCAGTGGAAAAAAATACATGTATACAAATACAAAAATATATATATATATTTTTTCTGTTTTGAAATAATATTTTTACCAATACAGTGTCTAAATGTATTTGGTTTTATGCTAAAACAGCATCTAATGTTGTAAGTGAACGTTATTAATATTACCATATTTAAAATGAAATAAGGAATAGACAAACATGATAATTTACATATAGAAAAACTATATTAACATTTTAAGTGTGTCCAAAGAGAAAATGTGGATTTGCACAGATGCACAGATACATATATAGAACTTACTGCATCACTTGAGCTAGAAGCCGTTGAAGATGGCGATGATGATGATGATGGTGATGAAGGGGAAGAGGGGGAAGGAGAGGAGGAGTTTGATGACACTTTGCTCCGGGGAACAGTAGGAAGCACCGCACTATCTTCAGAAAAGTTATTATTGCACTCATCAAGCTCCTCGGACTCCACGAGCAGCGTGACATCATTTGCTATGGAGAATCAAAAAAGGGATATTCAGCTTTCTAAAGTGAAATATGGATCAAAATGAGCTCAGGGATAATGTCTCACCATTACAATTGAGGACCGGCTCATTGTTGCTCCGCTGGCCCCACTGCGCACTGATCCAGACACGGTACTCCGCTACTTCCTGTGTGACACGGATTATTCTGCCTAGAATACTGTAGGGAAAAATAAGCCCATTCATGAATCCAATCCGGAGTAGATCCTGATTTTTATCACAGTAATTTTTTCCCCCTAGGACAATTAATATTAGTTTTCACAATGTTCATCTATCAGTTTGCAGTTGTTTTTTACTGTTTGCAAATTACTATTACTAACTATTACTAACAAATTACTAACTATGGGTGTTTAGAATACTCCAAATACATTAACATTAAAACAAGATTAAGAACAAATTCACATGCATATAAACGTGCTGTAAACTATGCAGAAATCTTGAGAAGTTCTCCTGTGTGTATAAATACAAATAATCCTCGTAAATATGAGACCCATTATCTATGTATGATAAGGGAGTGCATATCCCCCCTGACATGTCTTAAACCAAGAGAGCTTGAATACTGCTGTCATAGTGTCTGCACTACATATTATATCATGGGTCAATAAAGAAACACTTCTTTCAAATTCATGAAATAATACGAAACACGTTTAATGTTCTGCCCAGCCCTTACGACTAAGAAAATTAAATGCACACATCTTTTACCCAGTTCTCCTTGTCTCACCTCTCTGACTCGTTGTTGGGGTAGTACTTGGCAATCGGGGACACAGCATGACTTAAGACAACATAAGCGTAATCAAAAGCCTCTTTCACCTGCATCGCCCCATATGAACTTCGCCCAACATCATTTCCTATGACACAGACACACATAAACAAGTGATAAGAATCAGAACATCTTCCATACAATCTTTGATGACATTTCCGTATCAGTTGAACTGTTTAAAACGCTAATCAGTTTAAAATGTGCATGTGTGCGTGAGGGTTTGTGTTTGTACCTGGCTGCAAAGGATCCTCAATGTAAAGCATTGAGGGTCTGTACCCATCCAGCATGCCTTTCTGCACTTCATCCTTGGCCAAATACGAGCCACCGTCTTTGATCCTGATCCCTGTCTTCAGGTAGTTAAAATGCCGTCCGTACAGCTCAAAAAACTCAATCAGCAGTACACCCAGGTTTGGGTTTGAACTACACACATCCTCTCTGTAGTGCAGCTGAGAAATAAAACAGCAGTTACAATTGTAATGAAGTTGTTGTATTAGCTAAAAGCCTATGAGCAATTATCATTAAATAGGTGATTTTCACTCTGGAGGCAAATCTGACGATGCATATACCTTTGGATAACAAAAACAGGCTTTATCAAGCTGATATTCACAAAGAGTGTTACATTGTGTGCATTTAAAGCTGTATTCTAATGTACACTACTGTTGTAGTCTCTTATGCTCACTAAGGCTCCGTCATAAATTCAGTAAAAACAGTAATATTGTGAAATATTACACAAATAACTTTTCGATTTGAATATACTTTAAAACTAATTTCTGTGTTGGCAAAGCTGAATTCTCAGCAGCCTTCAGTGTCACATGATCCTTCAGAAATCATAACCGTAATTTACTCTATGATGAGTAGAAAGAACAGCAAACGAACAGCATTTATTTGAAACAGAAATCTTTTGTAACAATGTAAAAATCTTCACAGTGCAGTTCACATGTTTGTTAGCATTATTTATTTTTGGGTACTAGTGAGAGAGTGTGTGTATTTGAATGTGTCGAAGTGTGTTACCTGTAAGAAGCTGACAACCATGAGGAACAGACTGTATGATCCGATGCCTCCTGTAAAAACCTCATTCAGCTCTCTTTGCAGCAAAAACTGCTTCAAAACCAGCACCAGGTGCGGTAATACGGGAAATTGCTAAAACACACACACAAATACAAGTCAGAAAATAAATCTGTATAAAGAAAGAACATTTAAAGGCTGCCCACGTCAACTTTAAAAAACCTCCACACTCACCTGTTTGAAGTCCTTGATGAGGTTTGCAGCTTTAACACCGTTCTGTACATTAAAGCTAATGTCCACTTTTACCTCTGTGTGCAAGTCTGTCAGTTTAATGATGGGAACCTACAAACACACAGAGCATTAAACACAAGCAGGGATGTCTGACAGACATCAAAAACAGCCTACATACGTGTATGACAAAGCACTGCGCGTACCGTGGCTTTGTCCAGGACTTTGACAGAGTTCTCATCTGCAATTTTTCTCTTGCGTAGCGCCTCTTCCAGAGTCCAGAGAGGTAAAGTCTCCCAGTGACCAAAAACCACCAAGTCTATATCACTGGTATAAAGAGGGAGAAGAAAAAGTGTTAAATAGAAGCAAACAAAAACGATTTTCTTAATGAATGAACAATGTTGTTTTTGAACAAGTTTGATGGCTTTAAAGGGGTCATGAACTAAGAAATCAAAATTCCCTTGCTCTTTTGATATACAAGAGGTCATTGTACTATAAAAACATCCTGTAAGTTTCAGAACTCAAAACTTTCTCGTTAGTCTAAAAACAGCTTATATTGAAGCCAATCTGCCAAAACGACAGCTTGTGGAATGTACCACTTTATGACATAATAGTGTGGCTAAACTCCGCCTCCGCAGAGGAAGATCAACACCTGCTTCAATAGCACTGCCTGTTGCCCCACCCACCGACTCGCACATGTAGTAAATGAATAACGAGAGAGGCAAACGCAGATCTAGGCAGAAACCAAACGATAAAGATGCTCTGAAAACAACAAGACGCTGTTCAGTGCCAAGTTGTGGAAAAACACCTTCTGATCCAAACATTAGGAATGAGTGGATGAAGTTTATTTTTAATGAAGATTCATACTGCGTGATTAAGAACATGGTCCTTTGTTCACTTAATTTCACAGTGGATTTGTTTACAAAAAAGGCACAATTCAATGCAGGATATTCAGAAAGATTGAAGATGATGCTGTGCCGAATTGACTAGACTGGATCTGACAGTAATGTCGCACCACACAAGTGTGAGTAACTGTTTTTATTACATGGTCACTATTGATTTGTCCGTTATTACAGATCGTTTGATATGTAGTATTTATGCATTTTTGACCTAAATCGCAGATCGTTAGTCTAAAAACAGCTTATATTGAAGCCAATCTGCCAAAACGACAGCTTGTGGAATGTACCACTTTATGACATAATAGTGTGGCTAAACTCCGCCTCCGCAGAGGAAGATCAACACCTGCTTCAATAGCACTGCCTGTTGCCCCACCCACCGACTCGCACATGTAGTAAATGAATAACGAGAGAGGCAAACGCAGATCTAGGCAGAAACCAAACGATAAAGATGCTCTGAAAACAACAAGACGCTGTTCAGTGCCAAGTTGTGGAAAAACACCTTCTGATCCAAACATTAGGAATGAGTGGATGAAGTTTATTTTTAATGAAGATTCATACTGCGTGATTAAGAACATGGTCCTTTGTTCACTTAATTTCACAGTGGATTTGTTTACAAAAAAGGCACAATTCAATGCAGGATATTCAGGAAGATGATGCTGTGCCGAATTGACTAGACTGGATCTGACAGTAATGTCGCACCACACAAGTGTGAGTAACTGTTTTTATTACATGGTCACTATTGATTTGTCCGTTATTACAGATCGTTTGATATGTAGTATTTATGCATTTTTGACCTAAATCGCAGAAGCGTCCATCTATGAAGGATGTAGGCTGTCAAACATACACAACTGTTAGCCAATCATAGCAGAACATTGCACAAAAAAATACACAGTCTTGAGAACATTATAAGTGGACCTCAGAGAACAGTACAAAATAAAAAAGGCAGTTCATGACCCCTTTAAATAAATTAAAAACAAACTTATGTAAGGGCACCCAAGTATGTTACAAATGAATTTATGGATGTACTAAACTGAATACTAAACTCAACAGTTTAAGCAACTAGCATACTTGTGTATTGGCACTACTGGTACTATTGATAGATTTATTCCACTAAGCCACAGTTCAGTAATCCAGGTGGCGTATAAACGCAGTATGACTGGTCTGAGTGAAGTGAGATTGCCACAAAAAAAAAAGAAAATCACACACTCGGGATGGCAGGATAAGCAGAGCTAAAATTACACATCTTAATCCCCTCCTTGCAAGCACATAAAAAGTACACAGACACACACAGCTGCAAGTCATAATACATTATATTACACAATTACAAAAATTAGACTTTCATTTAACTCGCACCACAAATCAGGTGTATGTGCAATAACATTTAAGATCTTATGGATATTGTGCTGAGTGTAAAAAAAATGTAGCAAGAGCAAAAAATCATAACATTACCTTGTAGGTAAATACAAGCCTGTGCTGAAGCTGCCAAACACTTGAACCTGAATCAGAAAATAGAAAAACAGATTAAATCTGCCCTTACATGAATCTCCCTATGAAGCTATTAGTCCCAACAGCCAGCCTGTGTTCATATTTAAAACGGAACATATCTATAACATGCAAAACAGACAAGTATTCATACGAGACGCTCTGGTGTTTGAGTACATGAGCGCAATTACACTGCAGAAACAAAGTAGGACTGAAAATGGCAAGCAAGCTGTGACCTCATAAGACATAAAAAATTTTGGTGAAAGAGCTGTAAATTCAAGTATATTAATCCGTGTATTCTGTTGGTTCACTCGGAAAATAATAATATAATATATAATATAAAATATAATATAATATAATGCTGATCGTTACATGCAATGCAAGCCTACGGGACAATGTACTCCATAACTTAATAAGCACAAAATAAATATAAATAAAAAATAAATACACACTTGAGCCAAGCATAAATAAATCATTCAAAACAAGCATTTAACATGCAGTATACATGAAGTATTCATTCACAGAGGGACTTAAAGACATGTACGTGGTTCTAAAATAGTAGGTAAAGCCTCTCCTTGCAAAGTTAAATACTCAATCTTCTTACACCGACACAGACTATGCACATCCTTTGGGTAACCCTGAGAGAGTCATATTGAGAATAATTGATGTTTAGTACTAACCATTAGCAGCTGCTAGCCTGTGCACTGCTTTCAGCTTACAGGAAAAATGATCGCTATAGGAGCTAGATTGTCTGACAATAAATATGCATTCCTAAATTTCACAAGCAACCAGACACTGGCACTGAGAAGGAGATGCTAATTCGGTTTCTTTAATGTGTAAAAGCAGGAAGACAAAAACTACACTGTGGGATTCAAATATAAACATGCTTCTGAAGAACTCCCCTGATACAAATGCATGTTTTAGCTACAAGTGCCTTGGCTACTTTTCTAACAATTTGCAATCATATATACTACAAAGAAACAAGCAATCCTCCTTTATTACACCGATTATGCTTCCTTGAAACATTAGCCTGCACTCTGAGCTAAATATAAAGAGTTACAACTAGTGGTTCAACGGATCAGAAATCTCACGGTTCGGATCACATTACGGTTTTTGACCCATGGATCGGATAATTTTTCGGATCAGCAAGAAAATAAAAATATTTCAATTTAACTTGCATTCCATTTATTACTTAAAGCGAAGTACTTCTTTGATACCACAGCAAACACTACTAGATTAAGAAAGTTTAAACATGATTAAAGAGACAAGAGGACAGCCAGTAAAAATAAGAACAAATACACAAATTACAAGCATAGATAAATACAACAGAATATGTTACAAATTAAATAAGGTTGGTAGTATTCAAATACAGAAATGTAATAATTATGGAAAATAACACAGCTGTGATAAAAATCTATATTTAATTTATACAGCAGTATTTATAGGCCGCTGTCCCTTTAAGACCTGATGCATGGATCTGATATAATGATACACATCACATCCGATTTCTTTCTCAGCTGTTTTCATTCACTTGAGACATAACTGACTGAGTTTACCTGAATGATTGTCGAGATGGGTATTTTGTCATAATTTTATATGTGTATGTGTCTGTTCAGAGGATTCAGAAGAGGATTCAGTTTGCGTGCCGTCTGAAACGTGTGCGCACTTCATGTGTGCGCGCGTAGAGAACAGAACAGCACGCGAGTTTTCCACAACACAAAGGCCAAATAAGGCTGTTGACACACTTTGAATTATTTTTCAGCTCATTATCCATGCATTTAGAACTACATTTTAGCAACAGAAGGTCCTGCCACTTGTGGAACGCACAAAAGGGTCACTGTTGAGTTAGCTATGCTATTCTCTTAGCAGATTCTGTGCAGTTTATATTTCCACATCATGTGTCTTTAGTGTCTTTATTATTTCACTTTGCACACCCATTAGGCATTTCTTTCTCTGCTAGAAAACATCCATAAGCTACAGTTGAAATACAAATAAGATGATTAGCCACCAACCAATTCAAAATAGCTGGACTGAACAACACAAACTGTAAAACTTTATATAAAGCAAATTAATGCAAATTCGTTGTTAAATCAATAAACATATCCTTTCAGATATACAGGTAAACTGAGAAGAGTATTTATTGTATTCCTGACAGGTTCCAGTGATAACTTAGAAATGGAGTCCCTCAAGGCCCTATATTTAGACCTCTGCATGTCCATGACACCAACGTGTAATGGTGAACTACTGCAAGAACAAATTCACATATGGTTTTGATATTTAAAAGGTCAAGTAGAAGTTCTGAAAAAGTGTTTGTATTTATGCCTCTTTGGCAGGTAGCCTATTGATTGTTCCTCATCATCCAGATATTCAAGAATACAAATGACATAAACCCCAAGAAGACAATAATATGAGTAACACTAACCTCAGCATTGGGCCACAAGTCCTTGATGACTCTCTGGATCCTGGCCACCACCTCTAGCCTCATGTGGTCCTCCTCTGGACGAGGAGAAATATACTCATAAAAGTCCTTTATCTCCTCATGCAGCCTGTATAGAGAGAGAAATTAAGTATTACATAATCAAAGAATGACTGCATTATTGACAATAATGCTCTTTAATGTTTAACTCAAATACTACATTAAAGTGATTTGGTGGCACAATACCACAGATAGGTGTTGTTAATGTTAATGATAAACCTGGTTTCTGGTGACCTGAGCTATTGTGAGTGTAATTCAATATCAATAAAGACAGAATACAAAATAACAGCCAATAGTAATGCATACAAATGTGTTTGCTTTCCTAGTACATAATACATATAAACACCTAAACTAAATTACTTTGACTGTCTCTTATGTCAAGTCTCTTATGCTCACAAGACTGCATGTACTGGACGAGGAGAAATATACTCATAAAAGTCCTTTATCTCCTCATGCAGCCTGTATAGAGAGAGAAATTAAGTATTACATAATCAAAGAATGACTGCATTATTGACAATAATGCTCTTTAATGTTTAACTCAAATACTACATTAAAGTGATTTGGTGGCACAATACCACAGATAGGTGTTGTTAATGTTAATGATAAACCTGGTTTCTGGTGACCTGAGCTATTGTGAGTGTAATTCAATATCAATAAAGACAGAATACGAAATAACAGCCAATAGTAATGCATACAAATGTGTTTGCTTTCCTAGTACATAATACATATAAACACCTAAACTAAATTACTTTGACTGTCTCTTATGTCAAGTCTCTTATGCTCACAAGATTGCATGTATTTGATCAAAAATTCAGTAAAAGCAGTAATATTGTGAAATATTACAACTTAAAATAGTTTGTATTACAATTTAAAACGGTTTTCTATTTTAATATATTTTATGATGTAATTTATTCCTATGATGGCAAAGCTGAATTTTCAGCAGTCATTACTCCAGTCTTTACTCTCTAGTGTCAGATGATCCTTCAGAAATCATTCTAATATGCTGATTTGCTGCTTAAGAAATATTTCTTATCAATGTCTAAAACAGTAAAACAAATTTCTGTGGAAACCATGATACATTTTTTCAGGATTCTTTGATGAATAGAAAGTTTACATCAAAGAACAGTAACTGTTTGAAGTTTAAATAGTTTGTAAAATTATAAATGTTTTACTGTCACTTTCGATCCATTCAATGCTCCCCTGCTAAATAAAATTATAAACTGCTTTTTTTAATTTTTTTATTTTATCTTACTGACACCAAACTTTTGAATGATATTGTATGCTGTCATGTCAGCAATGAGAACATTGGTTAACATGACTCAGGGTAAGAAAAGAATAAATAAATAAACAAATTCACACCCTAGTTACAGGTAAGTAAACATTCAAAGGCAGGTTACTACAGCTAGTGAGGCTTCAGAGTCAGGAAAGGGAGAGTGTAGCTAAGCGACAAATCATTATTACTCATTTCTAATAATTTGACCCTAGAATGAAGCACACCCTCAACTCAGCTCAACCCAACCTGACCCAGCAGTCCAAGTTTATTCCAACCTGAACACTAATTTCAGGCAATTGTAGCAGCATCGAACACTGCATGGGACACACCTGCAGAAATACTATACATGCAAGCTGCTTAGAGAAGCAGAATTCATTCACTGAAATAGTCTCTTAGGTGTCATGCAAGTTCAGTATGTTCAGTAGATGACTGCGCCAAGGCACCTGCTATCACCTCTCATTCTCTTCCAGCTTTTACTAACACTGGTCTTCTGATGCCAGGTGCCAATCCCATGACTAGGGTTGAATCCGCACATGCCTGCCAAACTGGGCGCCATCCTTATTTATGCACATGTAGCTGCTGCTGCAGGTGGTTTCATCATTCTGTACATGTGCGGAGTTTGCCCATGACTTAGGTAATGATACTAATAGACTTCCTTAAAGATGGAGCTAACAACGCCAAGGTCATGGGTTTGATTTACAGAGAATGCATGAACTGATATAACATTCACAATGAATGGTGTATGTACATTGAAACTAAATGTAAGCTGCTTTGGATAAAAGTGTGGCAAAAGCATAAAAGAAAATAAGAGAAAAATATTCCTACATAGTTCACATCTGTTTAATAGCATCAAAGAAAGTCGGCGGAGACATGCCAATTATAGGACGTTTTCACACCTGGCTCCTTTAGAGCGTTTGTTTCCCTAAACAAGGTTTTAAAAATGGAACATAGTAACCATTTAAGTCCCTGTTTCATGTCAGTTAATCTCAGCTTTCAGTTAAAGGAGACATATTATGCCCCTTTTTACAATATGTAATATAAGTCTCTGGTGTCTCCAGAATGTGTCTGTGTAGTTTCAGCTCAAAATACTCCACAGATCATTTATTATATCATTTTGAAAATGCCTATTTTGAGTGGAAGCAGAAACACGCTGTTTTTCGGGCCTGTCTCTTTAAATGCAAATGAGCTGCTGCTCCTCGCCCCCTTTTCCAGAATAGAGCTGCGCCATTACAGCTCGGACCTGCTAAAAACATGTGTTTTGGTTCTGATTATCATGTTTATCGCGCTGAAATCATGCATTTTAAACCATATGAGTTTAAACTTCTGATATACGGTTTTCTGAGCGCACACATCCGAAGCACACGGACAGAAAGCGGCTGTCACAGCATTTGAGCACTAAACTAAGTTCTCATTCACACAAGTTTGTTAAAAACGCACGGAGTTACAAAAACAATCGGTTATGTCTGTGAAGGTAAACAGCTGGGAAATAAATCGCATGTTTATGTTAGATCTGTGTGGCAGCAGCAATATACATTAAATAAATCCACTGCTCTCTTGTCTCCTCTGAGGCTGGGACTGTAAACAGTGTTCTGTGCTCGTCTGTGCAGCCAAAGACAGAACAGTTAGCATGTTTTGCTCAAACTTTCGCCATGGCATTAGAGCTGGTACACCGTTGTCGCTTGCGAAATCAAAATGACGGCACCATGGGTGGAAACTTACAGATTAAGGGGCAGTAATATTATAATGATCCCTTTGCAACGTCACTAGGGGAGCGAAATCAGACGCGCTCGTTTTTCCAGATGCTTGCAGAAAAAGGCTTACCAAAACAAAGTTACTGGGTTAATCTTTTTCACGACTCCTTGGTTGGTAGATGCACCGGGGACCTGATTATAGCACTTAAAACCTGGAAAAGTCAGATTTTCATGATATGTCACCTTTAGGGCTGCACGATTAATCGAATGCGATTGTCATGCGCATTTTGATAGTAATGCCAGTTCTGTAATGAGCAGGAAATCATCATCACGTGCTTTCAGATGGAGCAGAATTTACTACACACAGCCATAGTTCACTGACAAGTTACACTTAAAAAAAAATTTAAAAAAATTATCACTGATGATATTATTGCGCGATTCTGAAATCGAAAAAATCGTTTGCGATAATGACAGCTGTAAATTTAAGGGGGTCTGAATACTTTCCGTACCCACTGTATATATAATTTTTGAAAAAGAAGCATAATAAGACAAGACAAATACGAAAGAGATTATTAAAATAATTTTTCAGATACAGTAGGTTTACTTAACATTTATTTAGCATCTTTTGTTGGTTAACAATAAAGTGTTCATATGATGCGATTTAAATTTTTCTTTCTCTTTGGAGTGTTACAAGCTCTTGGTGCATAAAGAAGATCTGTAAAGTTGCAAAGACTAAAGTCTCAAATCCAAAGAGATATTCTTTATAAAAGTTAGGAGTCAATCAAACCTACCTAAAACGGCTCGTTCTAACACCCCCCCACATGTCTACCTCACGATGTGGTAGGGCTGGACCATAATTCAATATCAATATGTATCGCAATATATTTCTTTTCAATAACGGTGATATGATTTTTAAACACATTTCTGATATTTCAATATACATTACCAGTGTTTCCCATACATTGATTTATTTGTGGCGTTTGACTTCGTTGAATAAACATGAGCACTGCACGTTTCAAAATCAAAACGCGGCGCGGGTGTTTTATATGAATGAATCTCTGAAGGGAACCGACTGTCTTCAGAAAAGTTTCGATGACATTATCATTTTATCTGATAAAGAAGCGTTCATGAGCGGAGCTGCTTTGATTACAGCCGTTACTGGAGAAACTGCTAGTTCTAGTGCTCTCACAGCGCCTCCTGCTGGCAGACAATCAGTTTTTCAATTGTCAATAAGCCCGTCTCCAGCAACATGTTTTTGTTGTTGCTCTTTTTTTTCTGCAGCAACTCAGAGCACTTTTCATATTTTTTATCCTGGCTGAAGCACATTTGTTTCAATCTATAACAATAATCAGCCACCCTACATCACCAGTCAAAAGTTTTTGAACAGCTAGATGTTTAATGTTTTCTTTTTTTTTATTATTATCTTCTGCTCACCAAGTCTGCATTTATTTGATCTAAAGTACAGCAAAAACAATAAAATTTACAAATATTTTCTATTTGAATATATTTTAAAATTTAATTTATTCCTGTGATACAAAGCTGAATTTTCAGCATCATTACTCCAGTCTTCAGTGTCACATGATCCTTCAGAAATCATTCTAATATGCTGATTATCAATATACAGTTGAGTATTTTTTTTCAGGATTCTTTGAGGAGCAGAAAGATCCAAAGATCAGCATTTATCTGAAATAATAGCTTTGAAATCACATGAATAAATTGCATTAAAATATTTCCAAATAGAAAAGAGTTATTTTAAATAGTAAAATTATTTCAAAATGTTACCGCTTTTGCTGTATTTTGGATCAAATAAATGCAGGCTTGGTGAGCAGAAGAGAATTCTTTAAAAACAATAAAAATCTTACTGTTCAAAAACTTTTGACTGGTATGTTAGAAGATATTAATAATTAATAAGGTGAGTCTGAGATGTTTATTTGACAGTGATTTCACATTTCTTGTTTGTATGAAGGCTAAACACAAATAAAA